GCGCTCTGTCCTGGCCGTCACAGCTTTTCCAGTAGTGGGTCTACAACATATTAGGCATGTCACAGTAAATGCCAAACATGTCCTGGTTTGATCTGTGAGAAATTCTTTTGCCATCTTCTACAAATAAAAGAAGAAAACCTTTTGTAAGGGTTTTTTTGTTATCTCTTTTGTGATAATCCTGAATGTGACTAGGCTGTCATGTGTTGAGCCTCACAAGACTTTTGAATTCTTGTACATTTATTGTACAAAAGGCACGGCACTGATGTGAAAGTAGGTCTTAAACTCGCATTTGCATGTTTATTTTGGGAGCCTTATTAGCATTGGCAAACATGAACATCCGGCAGAGTGGTGGGAGAAGGGGCTAGGAGGAGGAGAGCAGAGGAAATGTTTCATAACAAATTAAATTGATTCCTAAGTTCAAAACGGTGTTTCCCTACAATAATTCAAATGTTTAGAGACGATTCTGACATCTTTAGCTGTCACATGTTGGAAAATATCCAACCGGCTCTGAGGCCCTGGAGGTCTGGAAGAAAGCATGACATCAAACAAGGCAGCGATCTTTAAACCTTTCCTTTTTCTGTATTTTAGTGGGAGAGGTCACAGTTCTCAGATCAGGACACTGATCTGACTTTCCTTGAAGGGCTGATCGATCAGCAGCAGCATCTCCAGCACCTTAAACCTGACTGTGAAACGCCAGCCTCGTATATTTATTTATCTATTTTTCTTGTTTTCTGCAATGTGCGAATTTACTTTCGTGAACAATATCTGTGACAGGAAGAAGGCAAGAAGATAACTATGTATAGACTATAAGACGAAGATGATGGAATAGCAGCGTCTTTATGTGTCTTTGTTTGTTTGTGGGGTTTTTTTTAGCTTTCAGCTGGTTGTTATGGTTTAATCCTCAAAAAATAAAACTGCGGGCCACCATTTTCAGCAAACAAGCTCACACAAGCTTATTGTACACTACAACTTCAGCATGAAATGACTGAGTAGAAGATCAAACGTAAACAAATAACTTAACAAGTCATAAATGCAGCCACACGGTTGAGGAATCTGTGCATTAAACAGGAAAGAAAGTATTTGTAAATTTTGGATTAACATTTGTTGTCACAAACAATGGGATGTTCCTGCTGTGAATATTTAAACACACATTTGCTGTATTTCATGTAACTTTCTGTATCATTATAAGTTAAAAAATTATATTCACGTTTCTTAAAATGCATTTTAAAACATCTGATTTCAACTTCAACTTGCAAATTTTGTCTTTATGTCACCGCGCTGCTTTGAACTTGTTGTGACCCCCCCAAGAGCTCAGAAATCACCTTATGCAGCTTTAACGAAGAATGGGAGTTTTCATTTATTCCACATGACTTCCTGCAAGCTTTGATGTAATTTCTGTCTTAGATCAGAAGCCCACTTGGACGCCCCTCCCAGTAGCAATATCATTAAAACACAATCCACTTGGCAGTGATTTATTTATTTATTTATTTATTTATTTATTTATTTATTTTTTGAGTGAAATGATCATATTTTTTTCTGACTTACTGCTTGGACTTCTCTCTGGAAAAAAACAACAACCTTTCAATAAAAGTACTCACAAACCTGTAATCATTCTTTCACACAACAGGCACTCCGCTGTGTCTCTAGGTCAGGCCCTCCAGTCATTCCTGAGTCCTATATTCATCATTCAGCTGTCGCTAATTATAGCCCAGAGTGTAGTTGCAACAAGTCTTCAGGGTGTCTTGATGCTGTCACACAGGTGACATGCTCGAAATTATTGTAGCTGCCACAATAATATGACATGAAACACACACTGCATTGAGCTTGCATCATTTAATAATTCCCAGCATCAGCTGTTTACTTTTTTTTTAAGTTAACACAACTTATAATTACACTATCAACTAAACTGCCAGTATATTCTGAAATAAGAATAATTTTACATTTAAACACTTTCTAGTCATTTCCTATGAACATTATGCTTGTTTTATTTCATATTTCATATGTTATATTTTACAATACATTGAATATTGAATATTTGGCTAAAACCTGATACAGAAATTTGCAAATTCGTCAAATTCTGTAGCTGTTTAACGTCTTAACAAAATGTTATCAAGAATCACTTTTTTTTCTCATTTACGGAAAACCTTTTAACTAAAGCAGCACCTTGACTCTCTACCTCAGTACTCAGTGAAATTTCGTGACATGTACATTCCAAAAATCCAAATAAATGTTAGGCCCTCACTGAAGGCGGTTCTGACTATGAAACGGGGATCGACAGCTGCCTGTTCCAGCTCAAGACAGCCTTCACCAGATTTGCAGGTCAGATGGGTGTTGAGGCGCAGCGAGAAGCAGAATGTGACAGGATATCCACACAGAAGCTGTGGGGAGAGTGATGGAGGGCTTCTGCAGGTTCACCTGTGCCTTAACAAGATTTCTCTGGGTCCTATGGAAGCCTTGTCACAACTTTTTTCCCTCTAGGTAGATATTGATTGCCAGAGGCTCTCCTTTGGCACAGCTGAACTGAACAAGTAAGTTTGGACTTTGCAGATATTTAAATCACAGAACAAAGGGCGGCATCGTTGCAAAAAAATGAATTATGCTCAGTAACCAATATCCAGTAATGGGTCATTTAAAGCCAGAACTGATATTTAAATCAGACTTGATTAACCACCCACATTGACTTTTTATAGCCAGTTTATGTTTTTTGTCCCCTCGTAAAACATTGTATGTTCTGTTTTGAGAACACCAGTCAATTCTTTAAATTTAGCTTCCAGGGAGCCAGACTTTCTTGTAATAGTTTAAAGTGGACTAGAGCAATAATTCTCCAGGCTTTCTAAAGATCTTTCAGAGTTTGTTCTTTGACCATTTTCAGGTTTTTTTTGTTCATTTGTTAAATCACTTAAACTAAACTGTTAATCATTCAGGCAGAGAAAAGGTACCTAACTCCAAGGATGAACCAGCGTTTTATATATAACAGACAACAAAGAAGCCATTTTAAATTGTAACTTTTGGCACTTTGTTACTAGGAGCCTGCCACAAAAACACATAATTTGTCCCAATTTCAAAATGGCAAAGATAACACACTTTGGCAGGCATAATTTTTTTTGCTTCAATAAGGTGACTCCCAGACAGCTGTTAGCTAAAAACGTGGCATATCTCAACACTATTTGGAGTGAGTCCTTTAAAAGATTTAGGGAACTTCGGGACAAAAGAAATGGCAGCCCTAAAAGAAAGTCACAGGTATGGCACATTACAAAAGAACTGGACTGAAAAATCAGACACAGCAGGTCTTACAGACTGCTAAATCCAAACTGTGTCCAACAAGTATGGAGGATGTCAGGAGTGAGGGCGGTGCAGCCATCTGGAGTTGCATTTTAGTCAATAGTTTTGAGCATTTTTTCAAATTGGAGTTATGAATGCAGAAAAGCACCGCCAGATTTTGATCCACTATGCAATGGAAAGCTTTCACTGTCGACGGCTTCTTCTTACAAGAGGAGTGGAATGTCCTTCAAGAAGAATAGTTCCTGAAGCCTACTTAAAGAAATTACAAGAAAGCTTGCCGAAGAGAGCTTTGTTGGAGAAGAAAGGTGGTCATTCAAGTTTGTTAGAACTGTAGAAACTCTGTTTTGTGTGTGTGTGTGTGTGTGTGTGTGCAGATAGATCAATAACCTGCTTCACCTGTGGAAATAGAAACAAAGAGGTGGCTCAAGACTTCTGCACAGTACTGTATAAACAAGTGATACTTTTTATCTATTACAAATGTGAAGCAAATTAATTAAACTGCATGAGAGAGACACACAGTAGATGCTTTCTGATGCAGGTGAATAATTTTTAATGTCAAAGGCATTAAAAATACCCTGGGGCTGCATTGATTTCCTCAATAAGTTTAATTGAGTTAATTGACACCAGTTTACTTATTCCTGTCTGGTTACATGATGCACTCCACACTGTATATAAATGCCACTTGTTTTGCACATATTTAACTCTGTATATTTTATATATTTTATTATTATTATTATTATTATTATTTTATTTTATTTTTTTACTATTTAATTTGTAAAAATGTGTATACACACACACACACACACACACACACACACACACACACACACACACACACACACGTAGGAAAATATTTAGTATACACATCCAGAAATGCATACACTATTATATATTGTACATATATTTATTAGTTTCAGGTTGGCCATTCTTGTATTTTGCTCGTTTGTGTTGTTGTGTTTGCACATCTCTGTTGCTTGTGGGGCTCGCACACAAGAATTTCACTCGCATGTGCTGTGCCAGTGTGCCTGCACATGTGATGTGACAATAAAAAATGATTTGATTTGATTTGATTTGATTTGATGTGTCAAGGGTGTACTTGCTTGCTACCTTTATTTATTCTCTTGTGCAGTCACAGAGTGAGTGTCAGGCAGAGTAAAACAAAAGGAATACAGCAAAGATGATCATGTCACAAACGAAAGGCAAAAAAGAAAAATCAAGGAAAAAATCAATTTCTTTCAAGTGAGATCAAAGAAGGATATAACAAGAGCTGCTTCTTAACACTTACCATTAAAATGTGGTGCAGACTGAGGGGCCATGTCAGACAAAAAATTTTTTTCCAAGCTTAATACGGAAGGAGAAAGGCATTTTATAAGATTGCTATCATCATTACTACTTTTGTCAGAGCAAAGTGAAGACAGAGGTTTCGTCACGTTCACTGCTCCGTGGTTGAATCTGCAACTTTTTTTCAGAGAATTAGCATCTGTTCAGCTAAAGTATATCCGATCCCTCTTCTAGTGGTTCAGGTGATAACAGATCTTAATTTATTGTGCATTTGCACATTGATCTTCCCGTTTCATGGGTTTCATCACTTCCAGAACTAATTTAGCTGGACTGAGTGAAAACGAGTTGAGACTAGTGAATGAATTGTTGATGGATTGGGGGGGGACAAAGAGCGTTTCAGTGCCGAGACAGAAACACGGTGCAGCCTTCAAACTCACCTGCAGTGTCTGTGAACCCCAGCCACGGTTTCAATGATCGAACACTCTCCCTCATTCAGACAAAAGGCTAGGTCCTTGTCTTCCACACATGGCTTGAAGACCTCCGAACGAAGGCTGGGATGTGTTGGGGCGAGCGCTGAAGAAAGACAAGAGGAAACCAATTTAGTTCAAATTGAACAGTTTTATATATTTTTTAAAAAATCCTCTCATTCTTTAGCAACTTAAATCAACAGGAACATTTTTCTAAACTTCTTTCATGTGAAGCGGCAAATGTCATTCAGCAGCAATTTACTTATTTGTAATGAAACAACCACTCTTGTTAGATTGGAAGAGAAGATTTCATTCCTCGCTCCCTTGCGAATCTCAGTGGGCTAAAAGCAAGATAGCCCAGGGAATGATTGTGTTTTATTAAGGACTGATTAAAATTGGTGTTTTCAGCTTGAAGAGACAAAGAGAGGAAAGTAATGATGACTGAATTAACACTTGCACTGTTTTTGGTGTATGTGCTCGCATCATTATTAAATACCATGTATTATGCCTGCTTTTTTGTTGCAAATGAAGCCGTTTAACCACAACTTCTAAGTGAAATTCCCGTTCTGCTGCTTTAGTAAACATAGCTGAAAATCTCGGGAATATATTAACGAGGTAAGGCAGAGAGATGTGAATACATTAGCGCTGCGCTACCCAGAGACACAACACAGAGTGATGGGCTTGGTGATGCAACTTTGATTTTCTTCTTCTAGTCTGACCCTGAGCTGCTCTCACATAAAGAGCATGGCTGCTGTGTACGAGCACCGCAATGCAGGGTTCTCCACCCTGTGAAATATGCACAGCTGTCAGACATGTCAGCACCACAACTATTACGTGCAACCACGTGCAAAATTTGTCCAAACACTATCAGAATTACCCAAGCACACATGTGTGTGCACAATGACACAGAGCACTGGCAATTGGATTGACTAGTATTATACCCCAATACCTTGCCAATACAACTGGATTACTCATCTGATTCTGCTTTCATCCATTTATGTGGTGCACAGACACACCTTTTTAACACCATGTTCTGGTAATTGTAATTCCTTTTGTATGAAGCTCCCACATCTTTCATGCCTGATCCTCTGTACGCTGTGCAGCACGCTTTGGCTGGCAAGTGGCATTTTTACAGCTGTGCCTCTAGTCACCATGCGCACACGGAGGGCTAAAAACTTGATAATCTGTTTGTTGTGCCCCAGTGTCCAGTTCAATCGATGTTTTGTTTATGGCTATTGATTGATAAATCTGGGGCTCTTGATGTAAGGCCCAAGAGCTGATGAGAGATCAGAGAGAACACAAGGAGATATGTGTTGCTCCTGAGGCTACCCGAGACTCTTCTATGTCAGAGTAAAAACTTTGGAAGACATTATTTAAACTACTTATTGTGGCGGTTTAAATGTAAACTCTTTAGTAGTAAAAAATACCACTGGTATCTTATAAGGTAGACACAAACACAGTAGAAAAGTAAAACATTTTTTTACTCTACAAAAGTAGGCCTCAAACCAAAGTTGACTCTTTCACTCTCTAGGCTTTAAAAGACACAGGGATTATATGGTGTATTATTAATTCCACAAACTCCCAGAGTGAATCATTAAAAGGTTATCTATTCAAAGATGTAACTTTATTAATAGAAAATAGAACACAACGTCCCCCTGTGGTATGCACATCCCTCACAATAATTGTCACGGCTTTTAAAGCCTCCTGGATATTTTATTCAGAAAGCAGCAGACAGTGACTACACGTGAGAAGTACCACAATTGATATTCAAAGACAACACCCACTATGCCAGGTCAGTGGTTCAGCTCTAAGCATGTGAGGCAGAGGGTTCCAGCTAAAGAGGAAATTGATTTTGTGCTGTAAGGCTAACCGTTGATATATTTACAATAGAAAGCCAAGGTCATCCAGATACCAAACACCTCCAAGTACCTGCAACACAAGGAATCCAATCTGTGCTGGAAAAAAATCAAAAACTTTATTCTTCAAAGTTGCCATTGTATTTTATGCGAAGCAGTCTCTACAGCAAGCTTTTCCTGATATATCATTAGTTTATCATTTCCTGCATGAGAAGTGGCTCAAGCATAGCACTGCTTCCAGCTTCCAGTTTGGATTCGGGAGACAGACACTATCTCTACTTTTAAGATTAGTCTTAAAACTTTCCTTTTTGCTAAAGCATATAGTTAGGGCTGGACCAGGTGACCCTGAATCCTCCCTTTATGCTGCCATGGGCATAGGCTGCAGGGGGATTCCCATGATGTTTTTCCTTTTTAGTCACCTTTTTCACTCACTTGGTGTTAGTAGACCTCTCTGCATTGAATCATACTTGTTATTAATCTCTTTCTGTCGCCAAAGTGCGGCTCATAGGGGCTCATTTGATCGTTGGGTTTTCTCTGTATGTATTATTGTAGGGTCTACCAGCACCTTGAGGTGGCTACTGTTGTGATTTGGCGCTATATAAATAAATTTGAATTGAATTGAATTGAATTCTTAAATCCCATGTTGGTAATGGAGCTGAAAAGTAGGAATTGACACATACACATATATATATTATTTATTCTCCAAGAGAAAAAGCTCTCAACAGCACAGTCCAAAAGCACCTTCTGTATACTATTTCAATTTTTCAGACAGACAATGTGTCAGTTTCACACCCAGAAGGGGAGAGGCTGACATAAGCTCCTAAAATTAAACATATTATGGCAAAAAGATTTCCATAATAGCTGATTTTCAAAATTTTGTGTGGGCTGCAGTGATTCATCCAAACCTATAAGATGTGGCAGTGAATGCAAGCATTTCAACACGTTGTCCGTTTCTTTAAAATACAATGAAAAATGTCTCACCCGTCAATCTACAACTACCTAACAAAAAACAAACAAACAAACACATAGGTTTTTTTTGTTAAAGTCTTTAAGGATTACATCTACTCTCTTAGCCCCCTTGTCCAAATCAGGAAACAAGTCATCTTCAGATATGTTCGTCCTTGAGCGGTACACGCTGTCAATTTCTTATGGGTTTCCATTTCATCATCCTTGACAGGCAAGAATTGGTTTAAAAAAAAATCTGCAGCATAGCAAGCACAACTCAGGGACTTTTGAATGAGCACATGTCAAGCTGGAAACAAGAGCAAGTTAATAAAGGGATTAGAGGGTTTCTTGTTATCAAAACAAGAAAGTGATAATCTGTGTTTGAGTTTTTGGATATTATGTTTACTGCATTGCCATTCCTTGACATTCAAAGAATTAACCCTGAAAAAGTCTGTGTAAATTCGTTGGCTGGTACAAGTACTTTAATGAGTTAAGGACATTTTTCATATCAAACCAGTAGTGGGAGCGTATCACACTTTTTTCAAATTAATCTTCATCTTCATTATAGAGGTAACAGCTGATAAATGAGGTGTCCCTCGCTTTTAGTTTTTATTAAGATTTAATGTCATGACTAATTATGACAACCACACAAGTTAGTATGACGTTCATTTATCAACACTTTTAATGAAGCATTTTACAAAATAACCCCCCTGCAAAGCAAGCCTCTAGCAAACTCTATGAACCTATGTATGCTAGGTAGCTGTAAAAACCATGGTGGAAAATGTGCTAATAAATGGCAGCTGCAGTGGGAGCATGATTCATCCTGGACTCTTTGAAATCATTTTCACGTCTCTCACTCTCCCCGTTGCACAAAGGCAATCCAGATTGCTCAATCCCTTGGTAACTTTCAAGGAATCTACTGGCTGGGGATCACAGATTCAAATGATGCTTGAAAGATCAGAGTTATCTGGGAAGAATACCAAGGCTAGTGCTTTTTCTCTCCCTCAATACAATTAAGTTGAAGTGTATAACTTCAGTAAGTTCAAGAATTTGCACATAATCGTTCTTCACATTAGAAAACATGCCGGGAATGTAAAGATATGCTGGTCTAAAATAAATGTAAAGCAACTCCACTTCCATAACAAAAGCAAAGTCTCTGGAGCTAACATTTAAACTGTGCAATTCAGACACATCATGACTTTAGATGTAATAAAACGGAAAGTTGGTGTTATAAACTCGGGCAAAGTCAGCCTTCAGATTATATGCTACACGTTGTAGCATCCACATTGGCGTGAAAAGGGGGGTCTCAGGGGTTTCTGCAGTCCTGTGCAAAGCTAAGTACACCCTTACTGCTTCCATAGCAATTAAGAGGGTAAGTAGCAGCCAGGCACTGCCAATCTAATGCACTTCATTTTTTGGATCATCAGCGAGTGTGACTACCTCTATAAAAGCAAAGATTTTGGCAGTTTGCTGGTCTGGAGCATTCAGGTACGTGTCAACACAATGCAACAGTCTTCCCAGCAATTTTACCCTAAAAGTCAGAGCAACTGCAAAAACTGCCTCAGTTAGCATATTAAATGGTTCATTACAGTATAATTAGAAATGTACTGAAGAAGTATGGCTTGTCAGGAGAAAGCCTCTTCTTTCTAAAAAGATTATGGCAGCATAGCTAAGGTGTCCAACGTTTTATCAAAACAAACCACGAGACTTCTGGAATAATATCATTTGGAAAGACAAGAATCAAAGTGGAGATGTCTGGCCATCACAAACCCATCACAGCATATCAGCACAAACACCTCAGACTAACTGTCAAGCACAGAAGTGTAGAGATGATGACTGGGGCTGGTTTTGCAGGCACAAGACCTGGACATCTTCTAGTCATAGAGTTGACCATGGACTCTTTATACCAAAGTATGCTACAGTGAAGCATGAGGGCATCTGTCCAAGAGCTAAAGCAAATTAGGTCATGCAGCAGGTCAATGATGCAGCAGAATGGCCAAAAAAAAATCTAGGTGTTGCAATGACCCAGTCCAGTCCAGACCTCGAATAGATGCTGCGGTGGAACCTGAAGGAATATTGTTGAAGAATGGTTCAAAACTCCTCTACAAGGATATACAAGCTGATAAAGTCATGCAGAAAACAAAAAATGCAGAAAAAGGTGATTCTAGTAGCTATTGAATTAGATTGCGTGCTTAACTTCTCATGACTATAAAAAAGCTTTCTGGGGGTAACTAACATCTACAATGTTTGCCTTTACTCTTTCATAGTAAGCATAAAATAATGTTCCATAACATAAGCA